AAATTTGTTTGTTTTGAAACAAAAACCCCATATAAACAAGAGAAGTAGCAAAAACTCCACTTAAATTAATCATAAAGATTCACAACATTAGCAAGAGAATAATAAACAATAAATTTGCGTCATATAACTCAAACAAGAATAGTAGGTCAAAAACTAAACTATTTAAAGTATGTCCTATAAATTAATTTAAACACAAAAAATAGCAGATACATGAAGGACAAACTGATAAAATTTACAAGTAAAAAAGGACAGAGTGTGAAAAAGAAGAAGAGATCACATTCAAATGAGTTATGCGATTCTCATGCATATTTAATCATTTTTATCATCATTAATTTTTAAAATATATTTTAAACATACTTCATCAATCAAGATTAGCATTATGTGATTGAATTAGACCAATTGAATTCAATTTAATGAAATTCAATTTAATTAGATCCAAGATAATTCAATTCTAGTTGAACCAACTCAGTATAAATCATTATATATTGTAAACAATTATTAATTTTTATTTTAATGCCATCAATTCATTTGACTTTAATGACGCTAATCATGACTCTTCAATTCATTTGTTTGCATATAATACCACAAGAGAGAAAAGAAATTACAATAAGCATAGTACTGTAATCGTTCTTTTTGTATTATAATGTATTTTTTTATATAAAATTTTGGGGTGAACCCATTTCATTCATTTAAAAGGAAATAACAAGTTTTTATTTAAAAGATAAATAGACCGTAAAGTTGTAACGGAGCTCCCACAAAAGGTTAAATTTTTAAAAGGATCATGCTATTTAAAATTATATTAACAAAAGGAATTTAAATAAAATTAAATTTAAAAAGGGTCATGCTAGCAAAAGCTGATAGCATTTTCTGTAGAACTGAAAGGAAGATTGAATTATCAGAGAAAACGTAAAGATCAATTGGGTTTTCAGCACAAAACTCAATTTATGTGTGCTCTTTCTACTTAAAAAGCTCTTCTTCTGCGATTTTTGCTACAGGCACATACGCTATAAACTGTGACTTTTACTTACCTTTTATTTATTTATTTTAAATAAATAAAATAGTACCAAGTGAGTTCCGGGTTCGACCCGAATCCGACACGTTGAACCAAATTGAGACTCCTAATTAAATATTAATTATAATAATATTTACTTTCACATTATATTAAAAATTAAATATAATAATTTTCAAGTAATATTAAATATAGCAGAAAGTTATTTAAAATTTGATTAAATATTTGAAAGTTTTAATATTTAAAATCTCTGTGTTTCTCCATCTCCCTCTCTCTCTCTCTTCTTGCATTTACTTTTGTCAATATTAAATTTCTTGCATAATATTAAATATAGCTATTTTTTTTTCTTAAAAACATATTTCTAAATTTTTTTTTCTTAAACACATTCTCTGTATCTTTATTTTTTTCCAATTTATTATATTAACAAAAAAATATTAAATAGAACGTAAATAATGTTACGCTTTATAATGTATATGTGCCATTAAATATTTTTTTCTATATAGTTTTGTTGTTAATTTCCTTCAAAAAAACTAACAAATTAAAAAATATATATAGAAATTCATAAATGGTTAACATTTATAAACACTAATTTCTGTAACATTAACTCAGATATTTAACATAATTCATAAGTAAACAAAACACATTAATACTTTTCTTCAGAAATATTTACTACTCTCAACAAAAGTTTTTAAACAACATATTAAAAAAATCAACAACATTCTAAAATTCTTCAAGACTAACCTTAAAGATGACAAAAACTTCACTTGGCTTGTCTATTTCTCTTCTCAACTCTCACTTTGTATTCCTCCCACCTCGCAAAAACTTGTGCTCTCAACACAAGCTAGCTGTCATTTAAAGGGAAAGCAAACAGGAATAATGTTAGCTTGTAAGGTCCCATTCAAGCAATCTAAAGGATCTTTCATCCCCCCATTCAAGCAATCCGATTCCAAATAAAGGATCTGTCATTCCCCCATTCAAGCAATCTAAAGGATATGTCATCCCCCCATTCAAGCAATCGAGTTGCAAGTAAAGGATCTGAGCTATTTAATTATATTAACTTCAGGGATAGTTTAATTCCATTGGGTAGTTTGTATGGTTATATAGATATAATATTTTTTATGGTGGCATGTAGTCTTTTATGTTGCTTTGATTGTCAATAAATACGTGTATCCAATGCTTGTAATGGTAGATTAGAAGATGAATAATATTTGGGTTTTTTTTACTCATTTGTTCAACTAAGAGGA